AATCTTGATTTACTTGAAAAACGTAATCGACATGCACTTAAATGTGTACAAATTGAAACACAATTGATATATGCAAATTTGGAAGCATTTGTTTATATTCTAAGTAGTCTTGGTAATAGTCAATGTAAAGGATCATCGGATGTAAGTTTTCTAATCGAAAAATGTCCTATTAAAATTATATTTCTTTCAAAGCTTCTTAATATTTGGAAATCATTTGCAAGTAAAATATCTCAACTTGGACAAAATTATATTAATAAATCACCAATACAACGAACACATACAATTGGATTAAGAAAATAATAAAATCGATTTTATTTTTATTTGATTAAAAAGGTGAAATATATTAATTAGAAATAAAAATTTTATTTTTGATATTAAATTAAACTTGATTATTCTTATTCATCTTTTTGTATAATTCAATCCAACGAGCACGTAAAAGTTCAGGTGAAAGATACGGCTGTTGTTGTTGTTGTTGAAATCCAATATGATTTTCATTCTTTGTTCCGTGTTGTTGTGTTTGTGCACGATAACGAATATTTTTTACTATATCACCATCGCCTTGTGATAGATTATGTTGATCAGGCATTGCCATCATCTGTATAGTAATGAAAAGACATACGAAGAGGAGTAAAGTGAAAGAAAATCGTCCTGCCATTTGAGCTATATCAGTCTAAAGAAATAATGACAAATAACTTTAAGGAAAATAGAAGGTGAATACATAAATGAACAACGTCGGAAAAAGCTATCGAAGCGGATATACAATATGTCATGCGCATACGTTCTGTTCCCTATTTATTATTTAACGCGGGGGAGTCGGTTTCAAACATAGACAAGAGTGTCCATAATAGATATATTTGCTATTGTTCTCAAATTGATTATGTTTAAATCACGCACATACTGATGACGTAGGTTTATATATATCTATACATGCATTTGAAAGTCATTACAGGAAATGAAATTTGACAATAAAAGGTGCCCACAATGTACTTGTATCTATTGTTCTATGAGAGGTCATAGTAATGACGTCAATTACAGTCATTTTCAATGATCATTAAGAGCTCAAAATAATGTAGTTCAGGACTACTCTATATCTTTTAATGTTAATAAAACAAAATAGTAATCATCAATATTTTTGTGTCTATATATATGATTAATGAGAAATTAATAAATCGAATGTTTTTTATCGCCGAAAGAAAGACAAATTGTATTTGTTGAATACAATAGATAGCATTGTAAAGAAAATAGTTGTTAATTCCTTTTTGCATTGATAATAACTTTAACACTGAGAAGTATGTCTTACTTTATGCTTATTTCATAAATACATAAGGATTATTTGTTTTTTTATGATATCAAAATTGAATATATCTTACAATTATAAGTTTGTTCTTAATTATTCACCTTTATCTTTAATATATACGTGACATTTTATCTGTTTAACTTCATGATTTCTTTATTTTTACTATGCATCATATGAGCAAAAAATATATCTGTCAAAGCTAAGAAAAAAGTTTCTAGCTGTATAATAAATGAAAAAAATATTAGAAAAAAAAGAGAATAATATCTAATAAATATTATACAAGTTCCATTTGTTTAATTTCTTCGATTATACGTTGGCCATGTGATGACCAATCGATATCAGAAACATTCACACAAGTAAATCGAATTTTTCGTTCATCCTAAAAAAAGCAAAATGTATAAAATAAATAAGTGTTTATTGATAAAATTTCATTACATTAAAATGATCAACTTTAACACGAAGTCTAAATATTCGTTCACGATTCATTGCATTTTTAATTAAATCGTCAATAATACTTTCATTTTGCTAAAA